CCCCCAAAACCCCAAAACCCCAAAACCCCAATTTGGAAATGAAAGTTGAAACTTTGAATAATTATGCTCGAACTTCAATGAAGGCCCCCACCAGTGAGGATATCTGAAGGTACTCACTGCATCCAATCGACGTCCTTTCTTGTATTTCTGCTAATTTTATCGTAAGTATTTTCTTGTGCTTCTCCTCGAACTTAGACTTCAACACTCTTTCATGTAAGTCATTCAATATATCATCAAGAGTCAATCCAGATGCATTCTTGATCTTCAACACCGTGTTTAATGAATCTGAAAAATTATCTTTACACAAAGATTTCAGAATCATAAGAATTTCTTTCTCACTAGGCTTTCCTGTACAATTATAGATATCATCAGAAGTTATCTTAGAATGGGCTAATGATCCGCTTTCAAGGATGTTTAAGACCTTCCTCATATCTCCTTTAGCAAGCTTCACTATTGCATCCTTTGCCTTCTGGTCGATATCTATTTCCTCGCTCTCACATATCTCATCCAGTCTCTTTGAAATAAATTCATCTTTTAATGGAGAGAACCTGAATTTTGTGCACCTCGACTGGATAGCTGGGATAACCTTCGCGACATTATTACAAATCAGGCAAAATCTAGTAGTAGTAGAGTTCATTTCAATAATCCTCCTTAGAGCTGCTTGGGCAGCATTTGTTACATTATCTCACTCATCGAGTATCACAAGCTTGATCCCTTTGGTGAAGAATGTTGATGTCCCTGAGAATGCCTTGATCTTATCCCGTACAGTCCCAATTCCTCTATCATCAGAAGCGTTTAACTCCAATACCATTTTCTTATAATTTTCCCCATGCAACAATTTTGCTATAGCCAGCATACATGAAGTCTTTCCTGTCCCTGGAGGTCCATGGAACAACAAATGCGGAATCCTATCAGACTTTATAAAGTTCTTAATAGTGTCAATGATTTCATCATGGGAGATTATCTCATCTAGTGTCTTTGGCCTGAATTTTTCCACAAAAGGGATGATCTTCTCATTCTCTTGAGGATCTACCATCTGAACGTCCTCAACAGTGTCAGCTGTATTGTCTTCCATCAAAAATGTATAGAAAATAGATCAACTTATGCTATAGCTCTAGGGGTTTTGGGGTTTTGGGGTTTTGGGG